TAAACTGTGTTGTTACATTGCGTGCACGTACAAATATGTAATGCCAACTGTCATYGGTATGTGCAACTATAATGCACCAACGAAAAGATGGAAAACATACACATAATTTTCACCACTGTGAAATGTTGAAAGTCAAATAAAAATGTCTTTTGTGAAATAAAAAAAGATAATGATTTAATCTTCAAGCAATATTTRAAATATTCAAAATAGTAGTCACACAGCAGCTTTGGCTTCAGGAGGTGAGTTCTCAGATCAGGAGCGTGGGTCCTGCTTCCACACTCCACCTGGCTTCATCCTACCCACGTGGCCACAGAACTGGACACCTTGGATGTTAAAGGAGGCTTAAAGGTGTTTCWTTCCAGGTGGGAGTTTTCAGAAGGCTCTTGATGGAGTCCTGTTGACACCTGAGTAYTCCTGATCTGGCACTAGCATAGCTTACTTCAGAAGGCCACCGTAAGGTGTGATATCGTCGCTTCAAATGTCCATGAATCTTTCCTAAATGCAAAGCCCTTTCTCCACCCCTCATCCTGCTCTAGCTATAGTCTCAGAGAGATCTCTGTATTTGTTCTACCCATTCTTCTACCATATTTTTCTGAGGTCATTCCAATCGGGCTTTGGTCTAATTACTTAGGTGGCACGTCCTGGGTTGTCCTCACCCATCAGCAGTCAGCTCTGTGCTCCTTAATTCAGCGTACTGACATCCGGTGCTTCATATTATGGAAAGCATCACAAACCCATCTACCAACCCAACAGTGATCTTGGTTAAATTGTTTCTTTGGGACTTTCTTGAAACATTGAGGTGCTGTAAGTCCACAGTCCTGGTCTTGGCAGTGCTCAACTCTTGAGTTCACTCATATTTTTCAAGTAAAAAGCACTGTGCAGAAGAATAAAACTAGATGCTTACAGGTGATTGGTTATAAATACCCACTCAAAATGCATTAGCCACTTAAGTGTAAGTCTCAAAGCTTATCAAATTATTAGCAGGAAATGTAGTAGAAATCCTTTAGGACGTTGGAAATAAAACCCCTATGTGTCATTGGTTGAAATATTCACTCAAAATGGATTAGGCACTTAAGTGTAAGASCCAAAGCTCTCAAATTATTAGAAGGAAACAGAGTAGAAACTCTACAGGACATTGGCCTGGGCAATAATATTTTTTTTAAGTCCCCAAATGTACAGGTTACAGAACAAAAATTGACAAATTCGACAAAGTGAACCACAGAGTGGGAGAAAATATTTGACAACTACATGTCTGGCAAGGTGTTAATATCCAGAATGCCTATGGAGCTCAAACAACTTAACAGTAAAGACACCAATAGCCCAATTAAACAGTGGTCCTATGTATATATCTGGCAGTCCGCATCAATCACATGGATTAAAATCTTCCGTGGAAAATATAAAAAGCAATCTTAAGGGTCAGTCGACATCAATCTTACATGAAAAGGCTGAGCATTTGCCTTTTTGCCTTACATTAGCTACTATTAATTATAGTATTTATATCCACATATGACACATATTTTCACTCCTAAAATAGCTACAAGTCTTCCCGATATCAGTAGCTATGTGGAGATGATTTCATTTGAAGTTTAAAAGGACCACTTTAGCGGCTGGGGAAGTGGCTCAAGCGGGAGAGCGCTCTCCTGGCATGCCCAGGGCACTGGGTTCTATCCTCAGCACCACATAAAAATAAGATAAAGATGTTGTGTCCACCAAAAACTAAAAATAAATATTTAAAAAGGAGCACTTTACTTATTAGAGGAGTGACATGTGTTATGTAAGCAAGGGCCAAGAAATGGAGATGAGCAGACACCATGGTGACAGCTGGGTGGCTGGATGCCTGGCCTCAGGGGTCAGGAAATCAGCCTGAACTCCTCACTGTATATTCTTGGTCTTTAAGGATGTGCACATCTGGGATCTGGAAGATAGTAACATAGCTGGTCTAATGAGGAGCTCTGGATATTGGGCCCCAGGGAAAGAGAGGCTGCAGGAGTCACCTATGACCGCCTCCCTCAAAAAGCCCTGCCCAGCCAGGAAGCAGCCTCTGAGCTCCTCCCAGAGATGAGCCTTCCACACCAGGACCTGTCGAGTTGGTCATGTTGTCTGCATTTCCTGTGGGCACATCCTCCATCTTCAATATCCCAGGTGCAATACTGATCACTATTGCTTTTTAAAATGTCTTTATGATGTGTTACAATCATACATAATAGTGAGGTCCATTTTGACATCATCATACTGAATGTCCCTTATTTTTGTCACCAAAAGCTTATCCTTGTCCCCGATGCCAAACCAATAACAAGGACAAGATTTTGAGAAAAAGGAGGAAGTTTTATTGCTTTGCTAGCAAAGGAGAAACAGGGCACTCTTGTCCCAGAGACTGTGTTTCTGCATCAGGGGGGACAGAGGGTTTTTAAAGACGCTATTCAAAGGCTGCATTTCAGCTGTTTCCTGTCCGGGGGTTTGTAATTKACTTGTTAATTTGGCAGATAGTCATTTCTTTTTTGAATTTAATTTTATTTGTTCTTTTTAGATGTACATGACCAGGGAGATAGTCATTTCTTAGATCTTCTGGTGCCATYCCTAGCGTCTGAATTCCTTGGTTCCTSTGTGTGTGTGTGTRTGGCAGGGTGTGCTCAAGGACAGAGAACGGGGCCTAGGATGGGAAAAGGTGATCCTGCTTCCTGCGAGGGTAGGGAGGGGAAGAGGGAGAAGAGGAATAGAAAACACAACATCCATTTAAATAAAGCCTCAGGGGCAGAGCAGACAGGCAGGCAGGATGCTGCCGTTGGTGTTACTGTCACAGTCAGTGCTGGTGTCATTGATGTTTCCTTCTGATTATTCTCCATGACCAGCGTTTCCAGAGGTAGTTCCAGTGCGTGACATGCTTCCTGATGTTTTCATTGGTCGTATTGGGGATGTGTTCTTTCTCTCCTCTTCCCTCAACCTCCCCAACATGTTACTTCTTTTTGAGGAATAAATAGACATGCCATCATTTGTGACAGTCAGTGTGAGGGTGGCGAGGATGTGGCGAGCACTGTGGCGAGCACTGCTTTTGTTCAATTCATTTCTTATCATGAAAAATCTCCAGGTTTTTTCCAGCTTCACTGAAATATAATTAAACATGRTTTTATCTGTTTGAGGTGCACAGTGTGATGCTGTACCAACCTTGCAAAGTCAGAGTCAAGACAATTAACACGTCCTGTTGGGTCATCCAGGTTCCTAGCTCAGCTGGAGACTCTTCCCCATGCACAGACACGAGTTGGAGCTTGATGTGACTTACATTAGAGGTGACTGTGTCACCTCTAATGGTAAGTGCTGCTGCAGCCAGACACTTTGGTCTCCCCTAAAGGCCACGACTCTAAGTGACCCTCCTATTAGGGCTCTGATGATCTTCTAAGTCTCTTATAAAGGTAGGTTATCTTATAATCTGTGTTTTGAATACCAGCAGATGGCTATTAGTTTTATCTGTTTTCTTAGAAAATTATGCTTATCACTTTTTATTATTTAGCTGACCCCCCCCTTTTTTAAAATGATACGCTACCTATTACCTCATGGGAAGAACTCTCTTAGGATGCGACAGGGTCTCATAGATAGAGTTGCTCAGCTTCTCCTAGAATTAATTGCTAAAAGAGGTGGCTTACATTTCTGAGGGGAAGTCTTAAGAGCAACACATCTAGAGGCAGCTTTTTCTAATCCTTGTTCAGTTCCATTGGGCTGGATGCTATCTATCTACCTTTGTGTTTTGAATATGACCCTTGCTGCTTGGTCACTGCAATTTATTTTTAGAAGGGCATGTTTCTTTCTCTTCTCTCCCTGCTCCTCCCTAATCTCTCCCTTTCCCGAATCTCAGGGAAACAGGATGACCTTTCTTATCCATCCTAGGCACAGCTATCTGCCCTTGAGCACATACCCACAACAGGAACAAAGTAATCCAGACTTTGGGGATATACCAGAAGATCTCAGAAATGACTATCTCCCAAATTAACAAGTGAATTACAACTCCAGTGAGAACAAGAACCTCTTTAAAAGTCCCCTCTTCCTGCAGATGGACAGAATCACAGCCTTTGGGACAGGAGTCTCCCCAGTTTCAATAAACTTTCTTTTTCCTTTTGCTCAAAACCGTGTCCTCGTTATTGGATTGGCATTGTGGATCAAGGACCAATCTTTCAACAATYGTGGTGGTCATACCTTTGCAATCCAAGGAAAGACTTAGAGGCTTTGGTCAGAACGGAAATATGAAAATTGCAAAGGTAAATGATGAGATCGGAGTGATCATTTTAGTAATGCTAATTCTTTCCTATCCAGGGCATTAATAGGTTGATCAAGAAAATCAACTCATCAGTGAAGACATCTGAGTTCAAATCCCGCGTTCGCCAAGTAAATAAACACTTTCACTGTTTATTTCACATTCATGATGAAGCCTCACCTTGAGTGCCCTTGTGGGCAAATGGGGGTGAGAGTAAGAAGTAACACACCTGCTCTTTGACATGAGCTTCAGAGATTCCGAAGGCAAGGCAAAGTGTGGGAACCACTGCTTTAGAAGATAGATTTTGTGATTTTATTCTCATCTTTTCATTTAGGGCAAAGAATAATTCTAATTGAAAAGCTACATCTTATGTTTTGTTTAATTCTCAGTTCTTAGCACAATACATGAGACAGTTGATGTCAATAAACCTGTGCTTCAAGGGAGTGGAGGAAGAGGAGTGAGGGAAGGAGGGAAGGAGCATGGAGGAAGAATTAGAAAATAAAAATATTTGAATATTCACTTGGCATCATAAGAAGGTTCTGCACTGAATATACATATTCTCAAAAGTCAATATATATCAAAACTACCAGAGGGGCTTTTTAAAGTGTAGAAGCGGGTCCTTATCCTCAGAGTTCATGAGGAGTCAGTCTGATTGGGGAATAAAAAACCTGTACTTTTAACATGTTCCCAAATGCTGCTGCTGCTGGTTCATACATTTTAATCCACTCAATATTTCCCTCCCAGATTCATCAACAACATGGGGGCTAGAAATGAAACAGATGTTTCCAACTTCCTCCTCCTGGGACTGACAGATGACCCAGCCCTGCAGTCCCTYATCTTCAGCCTGTTCCTGTCCATCTACCTGGTCACCATCCTGGGGAACCTGCTCATCATCCTGGCCATCAGCTCTGACCCCCACCTCCACACCCCCATGTACTTCTTCCTCTCCAACCTGTCCTTGGCTGACATCTGTTTAAGCACAAGCACGATTCCAAAGATGCTSGTGAACATCCAAGCACAGCAGCACAGCATCACCTATGCAGGGTGTCTCTCCCAGGCCTGCTTTGTTTTGGATTTTGCAGGCTTGGAAAACTGTCTTCTTGCAGCAATGGCCTATGACCGCTATGTAGCCATTTGTCACCCTCTGAGGTATACCGTCATCATGAATGCCGGCCTCTGTGGTCTGCTGATTGTATTTTCCCTGGTCATTAGCCTTGTGAATGCCCTGCTGCTCAGTCTGACGGTCCTACGGCTGACCTTCTGCACAGCCCTGGAGATCCCCCACTTCTTCTGTGAACTCGCCCAGGTCATCAGGCTGGCCTGTTCTGACACCCTCGTCAATAACCTCCTG